ACATCTACTCCAACTTGTTACAAGTGAGATTTAGAAGGTCAAATTGATAATTTGTAAGGTCAAGGTGACAGTTTAACAATGCAAGAACATTCAACAGCTTTTTTAGTTTGACAATAGAGCCAAGAATGAGGCACTTTTAGAAATGATACAGTCTTTATAGACTGATAATGACTAGCTAAAAGGGAAAATCAGTACTCTGGAGAAGGACATGACCAATTTGACAGACAGAACCCAGTCAATGATGAAGGGTGCTGAGACATTGTCTGAGAGAATTTGTGGTGTTGAATGTATTAATCAGAATCTGTTGAACAGTTATAATAGATTGACAGACAGGATGTCTCTCCAGGAAGGTAATATGTACACTATAAAAATTACTTCCAAGAATGAGATATTATCTTTACTGAAACAGGCTTCATTCCTTGGAATCCTCAGTGAGGGCAGTAGAACAAGACACTGGAAGGAGATCCAGACTTTACAAAAGGCAGTGGTAAAAAGATTTGAAAAGATTGAAAAATTTACCGAAATTGATGAGTAGGGACAAAATGTACAAAGACAGAATTTAGCATCGTCAGTATGTCCCAAACTCCAGGATGGCTTACCCAGAGTTCTAACTCCATCCTGGAGTTTTAGTACAGTGATCTCCTCAAAAAGACCATCTGGCATCAAGTACCCTAAGGTAGTCAAAGAATATACATGAGAACCCATACATATGCGTCATCTAGAAGAAATTAAACAAGCAATAATTAATTATGGCCTACTTTCACTGTTTGTTAGGGAAATGGTCAAAACATATATTTCAAGCAATAAGGCAACTCCACAAGATTGGCTCCAATTAATCTTAGTGGTCCTAAAAGATAGATGGCAGCTTCTCTGGAAGTGTTATTGAGCAGAATAAGCAAAAATTTTAAAACAACAGGAAAAAGCAAAAGGACTTGAGATTTCTCAAGATCAAATTCTGGGTGAAGGATATTACTCTGATCCTCAGGATCAAGCTCTTTACGATGAACACACTTTGCTCCTATGAAGCACAGCAGCTTTAAATGCTTGGGACAGGATTAAAAAATCAGAAAAGAGAACTAAATCATATGTTAGGGTTAAACAAGGTCAGAGAGAACCTTTTACCAACTTCTTACAAAGATTAACTAAAGTTGTACAAATAGGAGTAACAGACCCAGAAGCTAGACATGTACTAATTAAATCTTTAGCTTTTGAAAAGTACCAACTTAGAATGCAAACGGATCCTTGGGCCTTTAAAGGTCAGATCAGTACCAATAAATGAATGGATCTTGCATACAATGAATGTTGAGACATTTGACTATAGTACTGAGGCTTGGGTAGGAGACACCAAATGCCAAATGTTTTAATTGTGGTAAAACAGGACATCTGAGGAGGGATTGTAGATAAAAAAATTCTAGAAATAATATCTCCTCAGGAAATAGCAAAAATAGGAAGACTCAGACTCTGGTTATATGTAGGAGGTGTGGCAATGTCTGACATTGGACCAATAAATGTAAGTCGACAAAAGACAGACAAGGCAACCTGATACCATCAGAAAACTCCTTGGGGGCCTTTTGCAGGCTCCCATGTCAAACGTGGTCCAATCAGTACCAGTTACTGTAGAGAACATGTCTCACCAGATATAATAGGTAATTTAGTGTGGATTTATTCACACTAATAATAATAATAGTGGGCAATAGAGTGAATACTTGTGAGCTATTTTTATGGATAATTTACATTAGTATAGTTTCTTGTGTATTGATACAAGTTCAGATTATATTTGTTATTTCTGTTTACAATATTTGTATATCTATGTAAAGTTATTTTGTCAGATTGTATGCAAGCATGTTTCTACCTCTGTTTAAGACATTTTGTATATTGAGTCAATTTTTAGGGTTTATTTATCAAATTGCATTATATATTTCTATCTGTAGCAAGATACTTATACATTGTTTACATTTTGAGGTGGTTATCTTCCTTAACTGCATAGTTGTGTAAAGATTATTTAATATTCTGATATGAAGTCTTGGTTTTTAAGTTATATAGGTATTAAGTATTATAGGTTAATAGTCACTCATTTTTGTTATACCTATATCCAGATTAATTAGATTCTTTAGATACATAGAGATTATATTCTGCAAAGGTAGGTAATCTTCAATCACTTCAAGGATCTGTAAAATATGGCATTTAAATAATTTAGGGTTCTATTGACATCAAGACACTATTGTTCCTGACAGCACCGATCTATTTCTGAGAGAATGTTGAGCACAAAAGACACATCACTTAGAGTTTGTTTTCTTCTTGGCACAATTGGCCTTTGGTCAAGGAACTGCCCATGCCTTGACCACTGACAAAGTACATGGTGTCTGGACTGAATAAGCAGGACACAAGGAAAAGAACTGCCAAACCTTGCCAAGACAGGGTAAGACGGTTCTGAAAATTTTTTTGCCTCTGAAAATGATCTGTCAAAACCATTCGCCAAAGTTGGTTGCTTCAACATTGCAAATGAGACTTTGAGTGATTGCTCAGGTAGCCAGTTGTCTCTGTCATATTCTGCATGCTTTGAAAGCTGCTTGACTGCACTTTCTGCTTACTCAAGTAATGTTATCTCACTTCTCAGGCCTTTGATGGGGCTGAAGAATAGATAGTCATGGTTACCTTCCTCTTATGATTTAGACAAGCCATTTCCAATGCAAGGCTTAGACTCTTTAGACTAGAATGTTTATTAAAACATTTAGCATGTGTTCCTTGCTTAATATTGTTTATGCTGGTTGTAATCTTTATTTTACACTTGATATATGTTCCTTGTGTATATAATTTGTATTGGGTTTAGAACTCTCTTATTTAGACAAATGGGAAACTAATGGGGAATTTCTGTCAGCCAATGATCTTTAAGAGGTGGGACCAGGTTAGGGTAATGACCTTTCGGGTACCCAAACAAAAATGCTGACATACCCAGGGTTTGCTCTCTCTGTGTGGTTTCTGTACTACACAACTGAGGTGGGACTTCTTGTTTCTGTTTCTTGAGTTTGCTCCTTATAATAAAGAAAATATAATTGGTTTATCTTGGAGTTAGTTTGGGATTCAACATGTGAGTAATAGATTATATCATATATGCAATTTTTTTTTAAGAAACTACCAAACTGTCTCCCAAGGTGTCTGTGCTATTTTGCTTTCTTATGAGTAATACTTTTGTCTTAGTTTGGTTTCTACTGCTGTAGCAAAACACCACGACCAAAAGCAAGTTGGGGAGGAAAGCATTTATTTTAGTTTTTAGCTTGTATTCCATCATTCAGGAAAGTCAGGAGAGGAACTCAAGGCTGGAACTTAGAGGCAGGAACTGAAGCAGAAGCCATGGAGAAATGCTGTTTACTGGCTTTCTCTTCCTGGTTTTCTTAGCTAGTCACCTTCTTCTTCTTCTTCTTCTTCTTCTTCTTCTTCTTCTTCTTCTTCT